ACAAAAAAAAAAAAAAAAAGAGGAAGATTGGCAACAGATATTAGTTCAGGGCGAATCTTCTTCAGCAAAAAAAAGAAAAAAGAAAGAAAGAACAAATCATAGTGGAAATTTTTTTTTTTTAATAATTTTATTTATTTATTTATTTTTTCCCCCAAAGCCCCACTAGATAGTTGTATGTCATAGCTGCACATCCTTCTAGTTGCTGTACATGGGACGCAGCCTCAGCATGGCCGGAGAAGCAGTGCGTTGGTGCGCGCCTGGGATCCGAACCCGGGCCGCCAGCAGCAGAGCACGCGCACTTAACCGCCAAGCTACGTGGCCGGCCCTCATAGTGGAAATTTAAAAATACTTACAACTGAATGAAAATACTACATCAAATTTATGGGATGTACTTCTATCAATACCATATATAGTTTAAATGTTCACCTTGAGAAAGAAGACTAAAATTAATAACTGTGTTTAACTCAGGAAGTTAAAAAACAACAGAGTATATCTGAAAAAAAAAAAAGGGGAGCCAGCCCGGTGGCGCAGCGGTTAAGTGCGTGTGCTCTGCTTCGGAGGCCCGGGGTTCGCAGATTTGGATCCCAGGCGCGCACCGACGCACTGCTTGTCAAGCCATGCTGTGGCGGCGTCCCATATAAAATAGAGGAAGATGCGCACAGATGTTAGCCCAGGGCCAATCTTTCTCAGCAAAAAGAGGAGGATTGGCAACAGATGTTAGCTCAGGGCTGATCTTCCTCACAAAAAAATAAATAAATAAAATTTAAAAATTAAAAAAAGGAAAAAATTATAAAGATAAGAGGAAATAATAGTGAAATAAAAGATACAAAAGAGAGGATCAAAACACTAAAAGCTGGTTCTTTGAAAAGACTAACAAAATAGACAAACCTGTGGCAACTTTGATCAAGATTAAGAACAACTTTATACCATTAAATTTAAAAATAGACAAAATAGATCATTTTTCCAGAAAAAAATTTACTAAAACCAAAGAGAAAAGAAAGAACAGGAATAATCCTATAATCACGGTGGGAAATGAATCAGCAGTTAAAAATCTACCAATAAAAATACTGCCAAGCCCAGACAGTTTTACAGGGGGTGTCACCAAACATTCAAGGCATAGATAATTCCAATCTTATACAAACTCCTCCAGTGAAAATAGAGTTCTGTTTCCCAGCTCACTGAATAAGGCTTATATAATCCCGATACCAAAATCTGATAAGGATTATACAAGAAATGAAATTCATAGGCTAATCTCACTCCTGAGCATAAATCCTTTTTAAAAATCCTTTTTAAAAAACCCTAAACTAAGATTAGCAATCCAAACCCAGACAATTTGTATAACAATAATACAAAGGGAAGGAGGCTGGGGCGTGGCTATAAAAGGGTAGCACAAGAGATCCTTATGATGAAATTGTTCTGTATCTTCATTGTGGTGGTAGTCACACAAATCTATACACTTGATAAAATTGCCTAGAATTAGATACACAAATGAGTGCACGTAAAACCGGTGAAATCTGAATAAGATGGGTTGTATCAATGTCAATTTCCTGGTTATGAAACTGTACTACTGTTAGGCAAGATATTACCATTGGGGGAAAATGGATGAACTGCTATATGATTATTTCTTACAACTGTATGTGAATCTACATTATCTCAAAATTAAAAGTTAAAAAAAAAACACTATGATCAAGTTGGTTTGGTTTTCCCCGGGAATTCAAGGATAATTTAGCATTAGAAACTCTTAATATGTTACCACATTAACAGATTAATGGAGAACAAAACATATCTATAAAATGACAAATGGCATCATTAAGAACATACAGCAAAGGTGATAAATAATGGAAAACAGAAGCAATCAGAAGGGAACTTCACAAGCTCTGCCCATCACCTACCCATCTACCTGCACCTATGCCCATACACGCTGCCTTCTCTGTTTCTGTGGATGAACTGCCCATGCTCTTATCTACGGCCAACCCTTCCACTCATTTACTAGGTCTCACACTCTTTGCTGTGCCCAATTTCCCTTTCTCTTGCATCATTAATTTTCCCCTTTGTACTGGACAATTCTCATCAGTATATACACACAGAGTAATTTCTCCCATTTAAAAAATAAAACAAAAAGCCCTCCTGATCCCATATCTCCCCCTCCATCATCCCATTTCTCAGCTCCCTTTTACAGCAAAGCTCATCAAGAGTTGCCTGTGTCAGCTATCCCAAATTGCTCTTCTCCTATCCTCTCTGAAACCCACTCAAATCAGGCTTTCACCCCATGTCTCTACAAAACGCCTCTTGTCAGGATCTTCAATGCTGTGCGTGTTACTAAATCCAATGGTCCATTCACATGTACTATGTGGGAAGGAAGGAGGGAGGGAATGCGCAGAAAGAAACTTATAGTCCCTGCCCCTGAAGGGCATACTTGAGAGTGAGGATGTAGCAGTGGCAATGAATCAACTGAATAAAGGATCAGCAGTGGGGCGCAGCAGAAGGAGCACTGGCTGGGGAGTCAGAAGATCCAGGTCATAGACCTGACTCTGGCAGGAGGCTGTAGGACCTTGGGCAAGTCAGTTAACCTCTATGGGACCCATTTCCCCATCTGTAAACATGGATGTTACTGCCGTCTACCGCATAAGCTTGTCATAAATACTCACTGTGCAAGTCCCTAGGTTATTTTATTTTATTTTATTTTATTTTTGTGAGGAAGATCAGCCCTGAGCTAACATCCATGCTAATCCTCCTCTTTTTTTTTCTTTTTGCTGAGGAAGACTGGCTCTGAGCTAACATCCACTGCCAGTCCTCCTCCTTTTCTTCCCCAAAGCCCCAGTAGGTACGTGTATGTCACAGTTGCACATCCTTCTAGTTGCTGTATGTGGGACACGGCCTCAGCATGGCCAGAGAAGCGGTGCATCGGTGTGCGCCCGGGATCCGAACCCGGGCCGCCAGTAGCGGAGCGCGCACACTTAACCGCTAAGCCACGGGGCCGGCCCCCTAGGTTATTTTATAATTTGGGGGCTAAGCACAAAATAATTAGATGGTATGCTACCCTCCCTGATCCCTTACCCCTAGAAAGTCATTTTCTAGCAGAGGCTTTGCACCCAGTGTGGCACTGGCAATAGTCCACCCTGCCCAAATGGTAAAACCAAGGCTCAGAGAGATGAGAAACCATCCTTCCTGGCCATCCAGCTTTGCTAGTAACACAGAGTCTGTGAGGTTGGGAAGGGACCCTAGACTGGTCCAAGCTCCTAAGACTGGGGTCTTATCCTAGGAGGGGGCCCAGAGTAGAGGGGAAAGGGGAAGAATTACCTACCACTGCTCTCTGGTTCTTCCCCGGCAGGACCTCGGCCACATACTTGGTGATGCCGGCACTCTGTAACTGCAGTCGCTCACACTGGTCCACAATCTTGTTCTACAACACAAATGACACCCATGGCGTCTTGATCCATGTTGATCCATTCACTCCATTCCAATGAGTTTTTCCCGTACCTCGTCCACTCCCATGGTCATGTCCCAGACCTCATCATTATTGAAAACCATACCACCTCCAAAACCTTCATTTCAAAGATTTCACACTCTGCCTACCACTTCCCATCCTTCTAGATCACTAACTCTAGAATTTCCACTCCAGCAATTCTTCAGCTCAGTTGGAGCTGCCAGTACATTAGTCTTACCACTTTTCATTGTCCACCATCCTCTTTTGTGGCCTCACTTCCCTCTTTATCCTGAAATCCCGTGGCCCATCATCATCATTTTATGCATACTCTCAACCCTCCTTCAGACCCAGCTCCCTGACCCTCCACACCTGCACATACGCCGAAGAATATGGCTTCCCAAACTGCTCTTCCCCAAGTTATCCCCATTCACTAGCTAGCACCAATCATCCACCTCATTACCCAGACCAAAAACCCAGCAGTTATTCTCCAACCCCACATCTAATCCATCAGTGAGTCCTAGCAGCCCCATCTCCAAAGTCTCTCTCTCCTCTGGCCACTTCTGGTACCTCCACTCCTGCTCTTCTGCCCAGATCACCATTATCTCCCAGAGGAACTACTGTTAGAGCCTCCTAATTGGCCTTCCATTCTTGACCCCCACAGTTAGTCCCTGCTATCTTTTATAAGGAAATCGGATCAGGTCATGACCCTGCTCAAAACCCTTCAATGGCTTTCCAGTACACCCACAGTGAGAAGAGATCAAGCTTCTTACCTTAGCCAACAAGGCCCTACCTGACGTGACTCTGCCTATCTCCCCACTGTCACCTCCTACCACTCTCCACACTGGCCTTCTTTCTGGTCTATAAATACACCAAACCTGTCCTGACCTCAGTGCCTTTGCACCTGTTGTTCTTCTGTCTCCAGCAGTCTTTTCTCATATATATATACACACACACATATCTCGTTCCCCCACTCCATTCAGATACCACCTCTTCAGAGGCCTTCCCTGACCATTCCCACACCCCATTCCCTTGCTTTGCTTATTTTTCTCCCTTGCACTTATCACTCTCTGACTGTATATTATGTGTTTTTACTTTCTTTGTACCTGTTACCCCCACCACTGGAACACAAGCACCATGCCTTAACTTATTCTATGTCCCACTACCTAGAAGAGACCTAGAAGGGCCTTATTCAGAAGGCCCTGAATAAACTGCATGAATGAACACCCACTTCCTCGACCACAGAGGTTCAGCAGTTCACAGCGCCCAAAGCTGTGAGCATCGCCCAAGAAAGCAGGGGAGAGCTTGAGAAAAGAAGCTCAGGCCCACGGAGAAGTGACTTGCCCAAGGAGGGATGGCCAGGCCCCTGCTTTTCTATTTCTCCAGGTAACTACGGGAGCCCTTCCAAGGAGCGGCCCCTCCACAATTTCCCTAAGAGCTTTGCCCCAGTTCTATCTGCCAAAAGGCAACTCAGCTACCTCCCTTGGGAAGCCCTTGTAAATCGCGGCCCCCCTCAGTTAGGAATTAGTCTTACACTTCACCCAATACAAAGTTACAGAATTGAGTTGAGTGGGAGGATCACCATATATCAGAGGACTCAGAGAACTGAGACTAGCTTCCGAAAAGCTACAGGGCAGGAATGCAGAAAGTAAGAGAGAAGTTGCTGAACTGGTGCTGTTTTTGCCCAGTTCAGTAAGAATCTTCCCCCGGGGCCAAATTTCTTTGCTAGTTAGAGGGATAGGGAAAGGAGTGTGCAAAAGGCAAAAGCTACTCAAAACTGGAGAGAGAGAAGGCAAAGCAAACCTCCCTCCAGGCAAGGGAGATGAATATGCTTAGGGCCTCAGGACCCTAAGGTGCCCTGAGCACAGTGCGTTCCAAAACAAGCGCAGGCCTGCCACCCTGTGCCAGCCTCCGCCCATCCACCACTCAGATTCAGACCTGATGGCAACTTTTTTTTTTTTTAAGGTTTTCATTAAATTCTCGCTCCCATTAGCATCACTTCCTCCCTCCAACCACTGACGCAAAGATGTGGTTTCCTCTGCCCTGGTCAATGACTCGCCTAGTCCAGCCCCTGAACATCAGGAACCTTGGAGGAGTTCTTACTGCCCTGTTCTGGGCCTCAGTTTCCTCATCTGTAAAATGTAGGTAGGCCCACTTCAAAGGCTGGTCTGGATGAGATGATGGACCCTTAAGTTCCTTTGGGACTTCCAAAGTTTCTATCCACTATGCAAGTTTAGTATATCACATTATACAAGTTTATTTTCATTAGCACTATTGTGGATCGTGGTGACAGGACCAACCAAGAGCTTTGAGGTGTTGCTGATAACCGAATCTCTCCTGGCCCCAGCCCCCAGTCAGGTGTGTTTACTGCAGTCCAGTCTGAGTAGGGAGGTCCCCAGAGAGAGCTCTCCGGCCTCAGAGCTGGGCACAACTGCGGGGAGAGGTTGGGAGAATGAAGCAGTTTAATCAAATTGCAAGGAGACCCCCAGGGGCCACAGCTAGGTTGCAAGGAGGGAGGAAGCCCCAGGGTGACTTCCACTCTCAGCAGCCCAAGGGAGGCGTGGTGACAGGAAAGTGACCAGCCCCAGCCCCGAGACAAGCTGAAGTGGAGGTGGGGAGAAACCCTAGGGGAAGGCTTCCCGAAGGAACCTCCGAGATCCTGCCCGCCCGCTCCGTTCCCCGGGTGAAACCAGCTTGAAGCACGGTCAAGGCCAATCCTGAAGGGAAAAGAAAGCACCTCACCAGGAAGCCAGAAGGGTGGACGAGGGGAGGGGCCTCGAGCCGAGGGGCTGAGGAGTGGGGAAGGGCCGGGTTTACGAGAGGTCAGCTTCCACCGGGGCGGGAGTTGGGCACACCCTGTCCCGGGCGGCTGGAGCAGCGGAGCCCTTTATTGCCCGAGTCCAGGCCCGGCTCTCGGTCCGTCCACTGAGCAACGCAGGAGGAGAGGGCAGCTGGATCAGGCACTATGTGATAGGCAAAACAGCATTTCGCCCTTTATCTTATTTGTACCGCACGACATCTCTAATCAATGCGCGCTATTATTAGCCCCAAACTACAGATGAGGACACTGAGGCCCAGAGAGTTAGGAGGAGGACGGACGGCGGTGGGATTCGAACTCAGGTCGGCCTGACTCCAGAGGCCACACCCTTAACCGCCTCGTTCGACAGCCAGTGCCACCGCCGAGCTGGGCTCCTGGAGCAGCTGCCAGGTCCGCCCGCCCCAGGCGCCCTCGCTCGGAGCCCCCGCCTTCCGGCGCCCTCGCTCGGAGTCCCCGCCTTCCGGCGCCCACCCCGCTCACCCGCAGCTCCTCGGCGCGCTCCTCGGCCCGGCGGA